ACCAATTGTTGGAACCGCAGCCCTCTCTCACACACGGCTAAAGGTAGAAGAAGACACAAGACACAAGAAATTTCGGGCCGGCGCACAAACGCCGCCATGGACGCACGAACGCCCCAATCCTTTTCCTCTTTACAGTGGCTACATGGCTACCCTCGGCTCCACACCGGCGCACCCACTCGCCCACGCCCCGCGTCCATTGCTATTACCTGGCCCGCGCTCCCGTCGCGCCCGCACGCGGACGACGCGGCCACCAACAGCCCTGGACGCGGTCACACCTCCGGCTCCATCGCTAGCTGGAAACGAACCACGCGCACGCACGCGCGGTCACACACAGCCCAGCGCGCACTCACACACGCACTGGACATGCCCGCCGTGGCTTATTGGCCAACAGATACCAACTCCAAGCAGTGCAGGCCTCCCTCGTGCAGCGCGTAGAGCCGCTCCCCGGCGGCGACGACGAAGCGCATGGTCAGCAGCGCGTCCGGGTGCGGGGGGCCGACGGCCAGCTTATCGGTGTCGGTGCCATACGCGACGGCGTGGGTCGTGAGCTGCCCGTCCGCCGTCGGCTGCCACAGGGCGAGGATCTTGCTGCCGAGGGCGCCGACCAGCACGCCCCCAGAGTCCTCCATGGATTCGAGTTGCAACAGCGGAGGGTCGGCGAGACCCACGCCGTCGGCGTCCGCGTCGACCTTGTGGACGCTGTACCCATTCTGCCGGTCGTCCAGCACGACGTAGAGGTGCTTCCGGCCGTGCCGCGGCCGCTTCCCGCCGTCGCCGCGATCCGGTGATCGCAGCCGTTTCGCCATCTCGTCGAGATCAATCAATCTATCTACCGTATGAAGATGCCCGAGGCGATTCGATCGATCGGCCGGCTACTCTGTTCCGTTTTATTATCCTTCATTGTGACCTGCCGGAGTGACGCAGAGTCCATCTCGGAGACGGGCGAGCCCTCCGAGTCGCTGCTGGTCCGACCACATGTGGCACTGTGGCGCTCCGTCTCCGACGCGGCCGGCACCGGGTCGGATAAGGACGACGTGCGTACGTATGGTCGCCGCAGCGCGCGCTCCGACGACGAGTAGTCGCTGTTGCTCTTCCATGTGCAGATAGATACTCCGTAGATGGCATCATGGCAATCGAAACACCACCGATAATTCCGCGGCGCCACGAATTATTCGGCGGCGTCGGCGTCGGCGTCGGCATGATGAGCCCAGCTCCGGGTGAGATATGCATGGCTTGGCTTGAAGCGACGGCGTGGGATACAGCTGCCTGCGTAACGAACCTGCCGCCCAAATCTCTCGCCGCGTCGTCCTGTCGTACCGTGCGTTGTCAACCCACGCACAACACACGGACCAGTTTAAGGAGTGTTCCAAGGTTCTTAGTCTTATTAGTGCCAACTAACCAACCGACTTTGCTCTTCAAGATACACATGCTTATCCATCAATTCAAAAAGAGGACAGGCAGATGGACACAGCTAGCCACAGAGAGATCTCCGTTTCTTAATGATATTTTTTTAGGGAAAGCATTTTTTAATGATATATCAGTGATGTATATCTAGTATATTATTTTTATCATACATACACCCATCCCTATGAACGCACGCATGCACACACATCATATGAGCAATACTACAACTACGGGCATTTTTTCACGGAACAAGTCCTACATGCAAAGGTGGCATCCCCTAATTTGGCCGAAGGAGGCCCCACCCTGCAAATCAGGGACGGAGAGGTGAATTAGGAGGCAACACGTCTGTCCGTAGGACTTTTAGCGTAGATAGAGTTCGTAAGTGGAGCATTTTCGCACATAGTACCTCTATAAGCGTGCTTTGCTCCTACCTATCACAACAAACATGAAGTTTCTTGGATCCGTTCGGATGCCAATTAATCGTGTACCCTGGAGCGGCCCAGACACGCGCTCTGGCGGGAGACGATAGGCGGGGATGGAGAAGGACGGAGAGAGGGACCGCCCATGGGGTCACACACGGGAGTGTCGGAGCGGGCCGTGGACAGATCCAGACCAGGTGACACCGGCTTGATAGGCATCATCAGGGGCGAGGAGCCCCTGAACTGGTGAGGGTGGGGACCCTGGCGAGTGGGAGTAGCAGACAACCCCCGGGGAGTGAGGGGATCATGGGGGTGTCCGTCCGTCCCAACATTTAAAAAATCCTCCTCCGCACTGATCTGGGTGTGAGGGGAACCCACACAAAGGATTGGTGAGAGAGAGGTGGGCCTGGCATCAGGAGTGGCCGGCGAAGATGTCAGCGCTGGGCCAAGCGCGAGGGAGGCGGCGGGGAAAGATGCCTGCGCTAACGCGGATGAGGCCAAGGGGCCGGGTGGGGGAGGGTGAGCAGTGGCGGTGCCAGGAATAAAATCATGTGTAGTCACTTCAATGTTGTGTAGTCAAATATACATATTTTGTGTGTTTTTTTGCTTGATTTATACTTGATGTGTTACGTTTTTTTTAAAGAGTTGTGTAGTCAAGTGACTACACAGCCTAGACGTGGCTCCGCCACTGAGGGCGAGGACGCTACTCCTGACTGCCCCCACCGTCCGAGGACTCCTCGAAAGAGGTGGAGTCATTCCCACTGTCGCCTAGGCTGAGGTGCGCGGGTGGGGAGGGGCATAGAGAGGACCCCTCCGGACGCACACACACGCATTTCTATGAACATATACAACTACGCACGCAGACACATCGTACCCCTATGAGCATGCTCTGCTCTTACCTATCACAACAAACAGGAAGTTTCCTGGATCCGTTCGGACGTCAATGAATCATGCACTCTACTCCCTTCCATGCTCAACAAATCCATTCGATTCTAACGCACTGTAATCGCCCCATTCCAATGATTAACCAGCCAACCAACAAACGAACAATCATGTCATGTTTAGTCTAATTTGGATTATTAGATCCCGAATATATCCTGCGGCGCGGTGACCACCTGTGCTCGCGGCAGCAGCGCAGCATGATGGTCACCGTCGCCCGCCCATCAGCCCACCTAATTGACGCGTCCGCCATTAAACAAACAAACGCCAGACATATTCGTAGCCCAGTTGCGCTTCCCAATCGCTTTCCAGGTCGATTTGCATCCCCTTTCTGTAATCTTTGGTTGCCACTGGATTCATCTGCAACTTGCGCTGGCCCACCCATTGCCTTGCTTTTCTTTTGGCTGTGGGCTCCCGGGGGACAACAGGGCTGTATGTACTGTACCACTAGGATTATACTGCATGCCAGTATATACTCACCTTTTTCAATCTTGGAAGGTTGCTAGGGGCATGACCAATGCATAGCTTCAGGTGATGCCTCACATGCCATGTAGGATCGGATAATAGAAAAAGTATAGGTTTGGATGGGGCAGCGCGATGGACGAGACTTGCCTGTTCCCCCGACGTGTGCCCATCCGTGCTCCCGCATACATGACTTAATTTGATTGGAACAAAATAAGGCCCAACCTCACCCCCTTAAAATCAAGGAGGAGATAATTAGATTAGAAAGAAAAGAGGAAAAAAGACAACCATAGGATGAAGTGGGAGCACGGATGGGAGCATACGGAGGGAGCAGGCAAGCCGGATCCAAGCGGGATCCTCTCCAGAAGGCAGGAGCTTAGAGACAAAAAGTATGATCCGATGCATAAAGTTAAAAAATTGAAATGAAAAAGAGGAATGCATGTGTAGTGAAAGTTACTTTTTATTTATTGATAAAATCCACTAGCAATAGCTTGCATTGGAAAGAAAAATCAACACATATGCTTTAAATTATTTTTTGTCATGAGGCATCTATATTTATATGCCATCATTGTACATGCCCTAAGCAAGCATGGAGTAATAAAATGGATATACTACTTCTGCATCGGTGGTTTGATTCGTGGATTTGTAAAAAGGTATGCTGTAAAGCGTAGGCTCATGCGTGGCTTGGGCTTGCCACTTGCCAGCCACAATGCATTACTACTATACTACATTGCAACCACATCATTACATGCCTATTATTTTATTTGCGTAAATGTCGAGTAAAATTGGCCGTTTGATTTGGTTCTGGTCCCTTTCGCCTTTTGTGGACACACACCCGGCCTTTACATGGCCAAGACGTGCACAACCAACATTAACAACATGCATAAACACGCGCTAGCAAATAGCAAAATGATATGAGACCAAGAGCTATGCATAAACAATAAAAAAGAAAGAAACAAAACGAAGCGGTCAAATCTGCAGTCGAGAAACTATAACTATGGCCATATCCGCATTAACCGTCTCTTGAAACCGATATAGGCATAAATAAATCTCAAATGGGGGCGACTAGCCCTCCGTCAATTGGAAAATGAAGTCGGTTTTATTCATACACATCTAATAAATACTTGCCGTGTCATTAAAATATTGTTTATCTGGTGCAGAAAATATGTAGTGCTTGTTTTCACAACTCAAACAAATATCTTGCACATATCTCGATATTAAATGAGATTTTACGAATCACCGGTAGACTGAGAATCAGCAAACCCGATCTGCAATAGCCTAGTTTTTTGTACTAACACATAGTACAATCTTAAATACTCACATACACGCACATAGACTCACCGAAACAGCCAAGGTTTAGCAAACCGAAAATACTGATTTACCTTTTTTGCGGTATATAATTAAAGGCTTTACTTTTGTGAAAGGAAAAAAAAATCTATTTTTTTCTTTGGCTGGCCATTGTTTTATCAGGGAACACCCTGCACTTTCGGAAAATCCCACTCGTCCTCCCTGTCGCCGCATTTCGCCAGCTAATTATAAGCCTTTCTCCTCTCACTCCAGGCAAGCACGAGAGCATCCCAAATCCCAATTTTTCGTGGCCTCCCCGTCGCTCCGATCCTCGCCGGCCGGCCGGCAGCCCAGTCCCAGATCCGAATCCCCGACGCGTCTCGCCATTGCCGCCGTCCCCGACCTTCTCCCCGGCAGGGAATGGTGCACTGCGGGCGGCGGTAGGCAGACACGAGCAGGACCGCGGGGGCAAGAAGCGGCGGCGGCGAGATGGCCGGCGCGGAGAGGGAGAGGAGAAAGATGCCGCTGCCGCCGGCGCTGCCCCTGGCCACGCTGATCGGGCGCGAGCTCCGCGCCGGGGGCTCCGAGCGCCCGGCGCTGCGCTACGGCCACGCCGGCTTCGCCAAGCGCGGCGAGGACTACTTCCTCGTCAAGCCCGACTGCCTCCGCGTCCCCGGCGACCCCTCCACCGCCTTCTCCGTCTTCGCCGTACTGCTCTCCCCCTCTCCCCGCCCCCGTCCTTCGTGTCCGGTTCGTCGTTGGTTTGTGGAAATCTGTGATCTGACGGGTTCGCTGGATCTGTGGCCGTTTCGCCAGGTGTTCGACGGCCACAACGGGGTGTCGGCGGCGGTGTTCAGCAAGGAGCACCTGCTGGAGCACGTGATGAGCGCGCTCCCGCCGGACATCGGCAGCCGCGAGGACTGGCTGCAGGCGCTGCCCCGCGCGCTCGTCGCCGGCTTCGTCAAGGCCGACATCGACTTCCAGCGCAAGGGTGAGACGGATCGTGTATGCAAATGGCGATTTCAGAGCACGCCTGTTGAGCATGTTGCTAAATATCGCCGGCTGTGTGTTTACTCAGGGGAGGTGTCGGGGACGACGGCTACGCTGGTCGTCGTCGACGGGTTCACGGTCACCGTGGCGTCGGTCGGGGATTCTCGGTGCATCCTGGACACGCAGGGCGGCGAGCTGCAGCTGCTAACCGTCGATCACAGGCTGGAGGAGAATGTTGAGGAGAGGGAGCGTGTCACGGCGAGCGGTGGGGAGGTCGGCCGTCTGAATCTCTTCGGCGGTCAGGAGGTAGCAATTTTCTTTGGACCGAACAAACTGTCCCTTACAAAGCATGGAACTTTAGATTGAGCGAGTGAATAACTTGTTTGGTGATCAGTCTGATGATGCATTGTTGTGTGAATGATTTGTCTTAGGTTGGCCCTCTCCGTTGTTGGCCAGGTGGTTTGTGCCTCTCAAGATCCATTGGAGACATGGATGTTGGGGAGTACATTGTGCCGGTTCCACATGTCAAGCAAGTGAAGGTGGGTAGGCATTACAAAATGAATGTAATTCGTAGCTTCTTTTGTGGAGTTCTGAAAGTTGTCTCTTTCTCTTTGGTAATCTCAGCTCTCAAGTGTCGGAGGAAGGCTGATAATGGCATCTGATGGCATATGGGATGCGCTATCCAATGAGGCAGCGGCCAAGTCATGCCGAGGATTGCCTGCAGAACTCGCTGCAAAGCTTGTGGTTAAGGTAACTATGCCCGTAGCCAGTAGCATGTAGTACCTAGATTATCCATGGCTGTGGACATGATTCAGTCAATTGCCAATTCTGATATCTATTTTGATGTATGCAGCAAGCTTTGAAAAAATGTGGGCTGAAAGATGATACCACCTGTGTGGTGGTTGACATCATCCCATCTGATCATCATTTGACATCGCCACAGTTATCCCCAAAGAGAAATCAGAACAAGCTCAAGTCTCTTCTTTTTCGTAGAAGGTCGCACAGTTCAGTTGGAAAGTTTGGAGGCAAGTCTGCCTCTATTGGTTCCGTGGAGGAGTTATTTGAGGAAGGCTCTGCAATGTTGGAAGAAAGGTACGTTCTAGTTGCTACTGCAATGATCCGGCAAACTTAATGAATTAATTGTTTTCTCATAGTTCTGTGTGCTTTCTTATATATTATGCTATTTTACATCTCCGAATTTTGATTGAATATCTATCATGCTTGTTGCCTATTTGATCACATGCCTTTGCTGTAGCATGCTAAGACATAGATTAGGATGTGTTCTTGTCAATTTCTTTGAGCATTTGGATAGCCTTTTTGTATGTATCATGGCTTATGTAACTCTTCTATATCATGTTTCCCACTTTGGTGCCAACATGCTGTTTTTTTTTTATCAAGTACCTACTCCCATTCCTTTCCATTGTTATGTGTGACAAGAACCCTCTGAACCGCTTGCCACCTGCACTTGTCCGCATGATTATTTTTGTGCATATGCTTCATTCAGCTTTCAGCTGTGTATCACACTTGCTGGCACCGAAGAATTTTATTTGGTTCAGAGTGTTATACTCTGGAATCGGAATAGAGTAATCAGTGCAGATAAACTCAGTATGACACTCCTCAGTCATCCATCTGTAATTGGTGTCATGTGATTGTGAATCATGCTTATTGCGACTCCTCTTCTGTTACTTTTTTTTAACAAATTCTATGGATAGCTACTGGCAACAGGATGATTCTCTTGACACGGTTATTTGTTGAAACCTTTTGTTGACATCTTGCATCACCTTTATTTCATATTTCAGATCTTTTGGTTCAAAGATTGAATTTAGAGTTATATGACTGTGGATCAATCAAATTGTAACCATTTAATTAATCAAGCGTGGCTGAAACTTGGGCATAGTTCTGTGCCATACTTTATTTATAGCCGATAAGAATGTTTAGCTGAATTCCCATCTGTATACCCTTACTCTGGGCACTAATATGTCTTCTCTCATGGTATGCTTTTGAGAAGAAAAGCACGATATGCTTTATCGGTCTTTCCATTTGGCATCTACATTTTAGAGTAGGTCTGGAGGTAGCATGTCATTCCTACATTTCAGTACTTCTTTCTGTAGATTGCACATGTAATATTTCTGCCAGAATCCTGGAATAAACAAATTCCGTGATGAAGAGTGATTAGAACATAAGTCTGCTTCGAAGCGCTTTTGAAATATCGTGATTATTATGAAAGCTATGTCAGCTGCCTAACTTCTGATCAGTGTTGTGTTTTTGGTAGAGAAATGAAATGACAGTCCAGAATTACTTATCAATTTGCTCACACCCAGGCCATTAAGCACCAACCTTTGCTCTTGCAGGCTGGGTAGGAATCTGTCCTTGAAAGCAGCTTCGCCGCCTTCTCGCTGTGCGATCTGCCAAGTGGACCAAGAACCATTTGAAGGCTTGATGGAGGAGAATGGAGGTAGCCACTGCTCTTCTCCATACGCACCTTGGGGAGGCCCGTATCTTTGTCTGGAGTGTCGGAAAAAGAAAGACGCAATGGAGGGCAAGAGACCGAGCTGCTCGACAGCATGTAGGTGAAAAGGAGGCATGACTTGTGTCAAAAGTATGCTTCTTCTCCGTGTAAAAACTAAAGAGATGGAGATAAGTTGTTGGTGATTCAATTATTATTGTTTGCTGAACCTAACTAGACTCTCAGCCCGGTATAAATTGTATTTGGCTGCTAACCAGTTTGTTGCCTATGAACAATCCTAATATTGGAAGTGGTTTTTAATATACTTTTGAGGAAACTACGGTGCGGACTGTGCCATTGTGTGGGAGAAATGATCTGCCTATATTTTGTGTGTTATGGTCGATCATTTCTATTATCAATCTTGGAATGTAGTTTTGCTGGAAGCAAATGATCTGCCTATTTAACCACCGGGTTTTGGTTGTTTCCATGTATGCACCTTTTCTTCTGCACAAACATGATCTTTTTTTCTCTCCCATGATATAAGATGTTATTACAACCAATATATGAGGGAGTAGCATTTAGCCGTCGTATCTGGATTCCTTTGTTATATGTGCAAGGAATGGACTTACTTTAGAAGAAGTTGGCTATATTGCAGAGAGCTTTTGTTGGCTAATCGCAGGGCTAAATATCCATCTCCACTCGGGCCTCTTGATCGATAAAGATAGATTTAATTGATTAAAAACATCGCATCAAGACGACGAAAAGAATAACACCGTCTAAGGTGATGGAGGGCGAGTAGGAGACTAAATCCCCATCCATTTTGGGTAAAACTTTTCTTGACTACGTGTTTCATGTGCATACATGTTGCCATAAACATGTCGTGCTGAAGGAAAAACGAGCAAGAATAGAGCAAGTTCTGTATCCACATATTATTATTATTATTATTATTATTATTATTATTATTATTATTATTATTATTATTATTATCATTGTCATTATCAAAATTTATATCATTTCTACATAGGCATGGATGTATTTACATTAAAAAAATTAGGTGTTTGATTCTTTTATCTTTGTGGCAAAAAAATGGCTATTTACATGCCACTTTCGCTTCATGAGGTTGTCTTTCGTTGAAACAATCCCTTCATGGAGAAATTTAAGTAAGATGTTAACTTTTAATGGATTTTAAGCTTTCAAAAATTCTATTAGTATTAACTGGAGCATCACAATGGACTAGAGCCCGGCAGGGTGTCACAAAAGATTCCTACCCATGTGCGAAACTCTCTAAACGAGCTACTCCCTCCGTCCGGAAATATGTGTCATTAAAATGGATAAAAAATAATATATCTAGATGTATTTTAGTTATAGATACATATTTTTTTATCCGTTTTGATGACAAGTATTTTTGAACGAAAAGAGTAGTTGATAAAGAAAGCCTAAACTAAATACGTTTTGGAGTTTGAGGCTTATCCAATCAAATGTAGAACTAGTGAAACTGGAAATGAACACAAGATGACAACAGTTAGAAAAAATCCCCTCATACTGCGGCATTATTTATTATAGTTTCTTTTTACTTTTTTTCTCTAGCTCAAATTTTAGTGGCGCAATCTGTGCCATTTTACTTCTTTGGAACTATGTACTGTGCAGCCGGCGATTTTTGCACGAACTTCCGACGATGCTTAGGCCCTGTTTGGTTTCAATAAGTCATCTGGCTTATAAGGCCCTGTTTGGTTCCAAATAAGTCACCAACTTATAAGTCGAAAAGTGCAAAAAGTGACTTATTTTGCCAAACGGACCCAACTTATAAGTCACCCCAACTTATAAGTCATAAGTTGCTCCACCCCAACTTAAAACTTACAAGTCACCCCCTTTTGCATGGGTCTCATCACCTTTACATAAAAAAACAAGGTAGAAAGGTGTGCTCAGGTGACTTATAAGTCAGGTGGTAACCAAATAGGCGTGACTAATACCACAACCAATATCCTCGTCGCCTTCCTTGGAGCTGGCATTATGCAGGGGCCTGCCTGATTCGTCCCAATATCCACCAGTCCACCACCGTGGCGGCCTGCACTGGAAACTTGGAAAATACCACGGCTGCGATGCGGACTACATAATGGTGTTCAACACATCAGCTGAAAAATTTCGATTGATGTGTCGTCCTGCCCAATTGGGCAACTGCTTACAGGAGTCATTGCTGGAGATGAATGACACTCTTGCTTTGTGCAGCATCAGTAGTGACAAACACACCATAGATGTTTGGGTGGTACAGTATTACGATGCCGAGACCTGGTCTTTCAAGCATCGGATTAATTTGACCGGGGTGGATCCATCAGCGCTTGTTGATCCAGAGGTGACAATGATCCCTAGGATGGCTGCTCTCAGTGAGGGTGTTCTGCTGATCCAGTTCACTCGTAGGCGTGTGTTGCATTTTGACATCGATGGCAAGTTCTTAGGATATGTGAAGAGCGAAGATGACCAAGAAATCGACTTATGGGTTACCAATCATTACCTCCGAGGGAGCGTTATTCCCCTTCCACTGCCCCATGAGATGAGAGATGAAGATGGTGCAAGTCAGGAGCCTCCATTTTTCATTGGATTGTAGGATACAGTGCTTGATCCTGATGTTCTACACTGCAGGTTCGCTGCGCGATTGGAATATCTATTCTATATGCGTTTTGTCTTTTGTTCTTAGTTGACCTCCATAGTGTTTGCTTGTAGAACATAACATTTTGGACGGTAGCAGAGCAAGTTTGCTATCATCATTTGGTGTCCATTATCTTGCCTTTAGCATCAATGTCGAATTTCTGAACTACGGAGAATCTTTGCTATAGGACTACTCTATTTTATCCCCCACTTCCTGTTTGCATTTCTTTAGAACCAGGGAAGGTTCTAAGCACCTGACATGGTTCAGTTTGGTACTCAGTACAAATTTGTGTCCATTATTATATCAGTAAGGTTATTGTTGAAAATATTAGTAAGTAGATTTGGTTGGCTTTGACATGTTTTAAGAACGAATTTCTTGCATCTGTTGTGTGTTAGTAAACTGATAGTGTTGCCAGGGTCTTATTTCGTGCCATTTTTGTGTATAGAATTTGCTGTTTTGGGGGTAGAAGTGAGTTGGAGTTGTGCTTTTAATTTACACATGGTGATAATTTGATTAGTCGATGTTTTTGTATGTAGATTCTTAGATCACATGGAAAAGTCCAGCCGTTTCAGTGTTCTTTGTGTGGGTAGACATGTATAATTCTGCATATTCCTCTTCATGTGGATTAACTCTTCACATGTTAATTCAGCCATTCAGTGATGCTTCTTTGGGTATTTAATCCATCTCAGTGTATTAATCAACGATCTAAGCTAGTATGATATATAGATCTAAGGATGCCTAATAAGACCTCAGATTATTTCAGTGGTTAACTTCATTGCTTTTCATCATCTGATATACCTTAGGTAACTTGTGAAAACAATGTAAAAGAAACTTCCCAAAATGGAAGTGGAGACTCTCTTATTGAGAGTTTTTCCTTTTTCGGACTCAGTTTTAAGCTTTACCTTTTGCTCGCGCAGATTTAAGCTTTGGGAACAGTGATGCGATAAAATTCTCAACCATCAATGTCGATGTGAATTTTCTTTTGTTGCGAGGAATTTATGTGAACTCTTTGTAGAATCCATTATTCTCAAGTTGCTTCTATCCACATGGTGTTTTAGTGTTAAGTCTGAAGAGGGTGGATGAGACTCCATTCAGCTGCTCATGTGTCAGTCTGAAGAGCTCACGAAGCTAGCTAGTTATTGTGTGCATCATTTCATGATGTGATGTGCTTGGCTCTTGTTCATCTGGTGTCTTAATTTGTAGTACTTCATAGTATGCTTGTACTTGCTAGCAATGCATCTTGGAAAGTTGGAAGGATAAGGAGGCAGCCAGCAGTCTACTGGTGTAAACCTGAACTGAACTGAGCTCTCACAACTGAGTAGACTCTGCTTTCTATGTAATTTTTTTAAAACAGCAGACTCTGCTTTCTATGTAAGCAGTATGGTAATCCTGATTCTGCTGGATGGATGGATGCTAAACACTGCGAAGTATGATCAATGGAGACCAAAGCTTATGGAAACATACCTGCTTGTGCATAGTTTTTTTTTTGAGAATGTGCATAGTGTTTTTTTCCTCCATCATCATATAGTTTCAGAACTTTTTAGAATGTTTATCATATAGTTCCAGTTCAGAACATAGAAGGTGGAACCTGCGTATTTTTCTTAGGGTGGAACCAAACTCTCACCACGGATGCTGAATATATAGCTGTTTCTGAAGTGACCGAGAAGAGAATGAAACAGGACGAGATGGCTATCTCAAGTTTAACATCGATGGAGGAGAGCGGACGTCCTGCACGCAGCGGCAGCTGCACGTAGTTATCCAGCCGGTCGCGCGGCCGTGAGCCTATATTCCTGGCAGCGATGTTGCGGCCTGGGGTGTCGTTGTGAGTGAGGGGTCACCTGGGAGCAGTGGTGGCGTGCAAAGCCGGGCGAACAGAGCATATCTCTGAACCATTTTGAAGCGGAGCTGCAGGCCATGGTGCAGGCTATAGACATGGCGTTGGAGCTGGGAGCTATCCGTGTTGTTCTGGAGACCGATTCGCAACTTCTAGCTGCCGCTGTTAATTTCTCGGGGCAAGATTACTCCAAGCATGCTATGACGCTGGAAGATACTGCCTTCGTTCTAAATTACTTGTCATGGATTTGTCTAGATACGGATGTATCTAGACTCATTTTAGTGCTAGATACATCCGTATCTAGATAAATCTAAGACAAGTAATTCGGAACGGAGGGAGTTCAGGAGTACTAAGGTGCATAGGAGACTTTGGTTCTCTAGATGTGAAGTTCAGGTTTGCCGGCGTAGTGCGATTAGTGCTGCCCACGAGTTGGCCAATTTGGGCTATCAATGCTACGTGAATGAAGCCTTCTTATGGGAGGAAAATGCACCTGCCCAGGTTGCAGTCTGTGTAATAAAGCAATGCTTTAGTCTAAAAAAAGAACCAAAAAAAAAACAGGGAAGACCCAAACTCTCTTCCTCGACTCAGGTAAACAGACGCCGCCTCCTTATGGCCCGAACCGTGTACCGATGAACATTCTTATTCATGAATAAAATGGCGAGATTGACTCAAAAAAAGGTAAATAGACGCCGCCAAAACCATACGTACGAGGCGATCTCGGAGCTCGCCATCTTCTCCTGACTACCGCCCCTCCGTCTGTCCCGCCACAGGGTAAACCCTCTCGCCTGTGCGCGCCCAAGAATCCGTCAGACGTAATCCTTACG